GAGTGGTTGCAATAACCCAATGTGTTTTGCATTTTGAATACATGTGTTTTCCAAATTACACCCTGAGATTTCATGTTTGAACAAAGTGTCTTATGTATGAAATAGAGTGTAGTATGAAGGACCAAGTGTGTTGCATAAAGGAGTAAGTGTGTTGCAGAATTGCAACTAGAGTGCAAAGCAACGCTTTTGTTTAAAGTATGGGTACATGTGTTTGAGGCATGGTAACAAAAGCTTCAAGTTGTGTTACTTTAGTCTAAGCATGGTTCTATAGTGTTAAAGCAATGGGCAAAAACTGTAATATATATTTTTCCTATGGAAGTCAATGGGTGCCGTCAACTGTCTACCAACATTCTTTAAAATAACGTCTTTAAAACGTCAATAAAAAATATTTATTGTGGTAAAAGACTGTGGCGAGGCAATCAGACGAAAGGGGGCCCTTGGTGTTGCTATAGCCCCAGGGCCCAAAGTCCTCTTAATCCGGGCCTGGTTGTACTGTGTAGTATATGAATTAATAAAAATGTGCCAATGTATCCATTGGTTGTGTCTTTTGTCATGTGAAAAGGTTTGTGAGGAGGGGAACCACAAGTAACATAACTTACCAGTTTTGGAAATGTTGTTTTGAATTTATTGCACCAGTGTGTAAGACTATGTTGTAATGTGTGTTATTTCAACCCAGTCTCACGGCAGTTCGTGATATAGTCACGAAATTTAATCTATTGATTCGTGTTCGTGGACACGAATTTCCCTTTTTTTTCGTGTCACTCAGCACGACTTTCAAGCCAATGTATTTCAATGGGACATATTTTTCGTGCCTGCAACACGTTTTTCTTTCGAGAGCACAGTATTGTTTTTCTCAATTCTTATTCATTTTGCAAACTTTAAGGGTAGCCTACACTACCAACATTTAATCAGAAGGTTTTAATCCTTGTTTTATTGCGTTATTTTCGCTAGGCTAATACGCAACATGAATGATGATCGTGTCCACGAGCGCGAATTTTCTTCTTTTTCTTCGTGTCACTCAGCTTTCAATCCAATGTATTTCAATATGGGACATATTTTTCGTGCCTTTTGCGAACTTTATGGGTAGGCCTACACTACCAACATTTAATCAGGAGATATGAATCCTTGTTTTTATTGCTTTATATTCGGTAGGCTACGCAACATGAATCAAATGAAGATTCGTGATATGGGCACGAATTTCCTTCTTCTTTTTTTCGTGTTACTCAGCACGACTTTCAATCCAATGTATTTCAATGGGACATATTTTTCGTGCGTACATCACGTTTTTCTTTCGAGAGCACAGTATTGTTTTGTTTTTTCTCAATTCTTATTCGTTTTGCAAACTTCAAGGGTAGACTACACGAGGCCCAACAATTAATAAGAAGATTTTAATCCTTGTTTTTATTGCTTTATATTCGGTGGGCTACGCAACATGAATCAAATGATGATTCGTGTCTGGGGGCACGAATTTCCTTCTTTTTTTCGTGTCACTCAGCACGACTTTCAATCCAATGTATTTCAATGGGACATACTTTTCGTGCCTGTACCACGTTTTTCTTTCGAGAGGATTTTTCTCCTCAATTTTTATTAATTTTGCAAACTTCAAGGGTACACTGCTTTACCGACAATTAATACGAATATTTTAGTCCTTGTTTTTATTGCTTTATATTCGGTGGGCTACGCAACATTAATCAAATGATGATCGTGTCCACGGGCACGAATTTCCTTATTTTTTTTCGTGTCACTCAGCACGACTTTCAATCTAATGTATTTCAATGGGACATATTTTTCGTGCCTGTACCACGTTTCTCTTTCGAGAGCACAGTATTGTTTTTTCTCAATTGTTATTCATTTTGCAAACTTTAAGGGTAGACTACACTACCAACAATTAAATAAGAAGATTTTAATCCTTGTTTATTGCTTTATATTCGGTGGGCTATACGCAATCAAATGATGATTCGTGTCTACGAGCACGAATTTCCTTCTTTTTTTCGTGTCAATCAGCACGACTTTCAATCCAATGTATTTCAATGGGACGTATTTTTCGTGCCTACACCACGTTTTTCTTTCGATAGCAGCACAGTATTGTTTTTTTCTCAATTGTTATTCATTTTGCAAACTGGGCTACATTACTCAACATTTATTCAGACGATTTTAATTGCTTTATATTCGGTTGGCTGAAGTGATTCATGTCCTTAAGCACGAATTTCCTCCCTTTTTTTCGTGCCAGACAACACGAATTTCAAATCTGATGTATTTCAAAGGGACGTATTTTCCGTGCCTGCACCACGTCTTTCTTTGGAACATGGTCTCACCGCTATTCGTCACTTGACAATAATATATTAAATAATAATATAATTTGGGGCTCCATTAAAATTACATTACAGGACAGTATATTTTAAAACATGCCTTATTTGTGGGAAAATGAAGTTTTTCCCTCTCTTTTTGACATAATTTTGGACTACATTAAAACGACATAACTTAATTGCAGGACTGCATATTTGCTGTAGGCTTAAAACACGTCTTAATTTATTGTGGGATATTTTGTCGATGGTAATTCAATTTGCAATGGCTTATATGGAGCCTACTTTGATTTTTTTTTCTCCAAAAAAAAAACGATTAGCCTACTTTTATAGAACTTTCATCCCAATACGTATTATGAAGTTGTAATAAACTGCAGAAATATTTATATTGCTTTATATGGACATATCCTTTGGCAAAGCGATGCATTCTGGGAAGTGATATGTGTTAAATGTAATGTCTACATACTCGTGTTTCATTCACTTTAACTTTTACGCTGACCACTTTAAAATTGAGCACGGATATAAAATATTAAGACTGCACTTTTTAATTGTGATTGATATTTTGGCGCAATTTTGAGCAACACGTCACTGTGTGCGACCATCGGAGCAATGTTGCCAGGGTAGCGGTTTTCCCGCACAATTGGGCTATTTTAAAAAGAGAGTTGCGGGAAAAATTATGGAGTTGCGGGTTGCGTTTTTTTGGGCTACATTTATTATGTACTGCGGCCACAAAAATAATACTAATTAAATTGTAGACAAAGAAAAAATTAAAAGGGAACCGTTTATTAGTGGGTGTTGTTGATCACCGAGAATGAATATTTGGCATTGGCAACAACCACTCTGGCGGGCGCTGTCTAGGGTGGGCGAGTGGACGCGTCTCGTGTTTTTGACGTAACATCACAGATCTAGCATCGTCACATCACATTCGAAGTGTTTCAAATTATGATAGAAAAACGTTCTGCAAATATTGCAAATGTGAAATCAAGAGTTCACCACAGTGACCTAGTAGCTTATGCTGCGACTGAATAACTAAAAAAAAAAAAAACATTATTTGACACAGGCAAAGTTACTTTCTAAGAACTAATGTTGCTGTGAAAGAGGAAGCTGGCTGCCCACGTTGCTTGTCACTCAAGCACTTGAACTGTTGAACATTTAGGAAGTGACTACTGGGGTCAGAAAATATCAGAGAGGACAAGTTCTTGACCTTTATTGTATGAGATTGTGTTTCAGTGTGTGATATTAAGATTTTGGTGAGACAAAATGGCAAAACTTTAAACTTAACACACACACACACACACACACACACACACACACACACACACACACACACACACACACACATACCTATATATATATGTATATATATATGTATCTCTATATCGATATATATATATATATATATATATATATATATATATATATATATATAATAACCAGGTTAACTTTTATTTAAACAGGCTAATCTGTTGAGAACAAGTTCTCATTTGCAACCATATACAGGTGAAACTCGAAAAATTAGAATATTGTGCAAAAGTTCATGTATTTCAGTAATTCAAATTAAAAGTTGAAACTTAATGATATCCTAATTTTTCGAGTTTCACCTGTATATAGAGGGAATTTATATATATATATATATATATATATATATGTAAATACATACATATATATATATATATAAATTATATATATATATATATATATATATATATATATATATATATATATATATAAATTGGGCTAGTTTTCATTCCATTTGGGCGGGTTTTGAGTTGTCATTGGGCTTGAAATATTTCTGGGACCTGGCAACCCTGCATCGGAGAAACCATTGCCCAGCGCGATTCCACCACGGTAAGTCGCTTACAGCAGCCTGTTAAGCAAAATTAATTCATAAGCATTACACGTCCAAATTAATAAAATTACGAGTTTATATATATATATATATAAAAACATTTTCTAGGCCTAGATCTAGGTGATATATATATATATATACATATATGAAGAGTTCAGATGCAAAAGCCTCTAAATGCCATTTGAAATTTTCTTCTTTATTGATGATTTTTAAAAAACTTTTATATTTAAGTTCAGTAATTTCACTTAAATAACAATTAATAATATTAATTGCGCCATTAAAATAATTTTTAACAGTAGCACAGGAAGCATAGGAACAGCATGAATCTGTATTTATTTATCCTAAGCATTTATAAGAAAAAATCTATTACAGGGTACACTTTTTAAATCCTATCAACATAGCTACATAATTAACATTTTTTGTTGTTCTCCCTGCAGATCCTGTCAAACATATCACCTGTCGAACATATCTGAACCTGATTTTAAAAACCCAAAGGCACTTTTAAGAGCCAACCTCTATCTCTTCATTACTTTCTATATCTTACATCCTCTCTGTTCTCTCACTATATATATTTCTGTCTATCTTTTCAATCTTTATCTATCTCACAGTCTTTATCTGTTGCTTGTTCTTTTGTCTTTGCCTGTCTGTCTGTCTGTCTGTCTGTCCACTTATTATGCCAGGGGGGTCTACAAAAAAGATCTGCCCCTTTTGCCAGGGCATTTTATTTTGTGCTCAAAAAATATGCACACATTGCAAAAAGGAGCAGCCTCTGAAACAGCGCCTCAAGAAAAAGCTTCAGAGGTTTGATGAGAAGCGAGAGGAATGGGTGAGTGGTCACAAGAAAAAACCACAACATGGCATCCATCAAGGATGAAGCCAATATCATGGTACGTACAATTTCATACATGACATTAAACTGTCCATATCATCTAGGTCTAGGAAGTACATTCAGTGGTACCATTTGTTAAGTGAGCATGTTAGTGCAAGGTCAGAAAGACATTATTTTTTGCAAATATAGATCAATATTTTTTTCAATGACCCTGTGTCATCAAAACTAATTTAAAAGTACAATTTAACTATCAATTTTAGAAGGCAGATGTAATTGTGAAATTGTGAATTGTGATCCCTTAAGTAATCACTTATTCACAGTAATACATCACAGACCTAAATTATCTACCAGAGCAAAATTTGAACACACAGCAAACATAATTTATATCCAGGAATTATTGAGTTCATAACAAATACAGGCATGCATTATGACAGAATTACAGGTGCAATATAATAATCAAACATTTTATTATTGAGTGGATGAGAAATAACAAATTAACTGCATTCATACTGTACTACTCATAGCAATTTACAATGTGCATGGTTAGCTAAATATGTGCAGCATTCACCCATCTGATAATGTAATCATTAAGTTTCTGCCTTTATTTTTAATAAATCTTTAGGTTGTCATTGTCCAGTTGCACAATGGTTACATGATATTGTCAACGTACGTGCAAAACCCAAACTACTAATGTTACAAAAAGTCATATTGTACCCTCATGGTGTCAGATTCATCTTTCTGATGTTTTAGAGTTGGTTTTTGTGTATGAGCCTTTCCTGTTTGCACATACTAGATTATACATAAGCTAAACTCACCATTAGGTTACAAATTTTGAATGGCAGGAACCTGGATGCTGTCATCAATAATGTTATATTCTCTTAATAATTAGTTAGTTAAATAGCTTAGTTATTTTTTGTTGTTTTTCTATTACTTTAAACAGTAAATATACAATTTTGTCATTGCAGCTGGAGAAACTCCATGCCATTGGATATAAGCCACTTCTCCTTCTTGGAAAGGAGACCAACAAAAAAACATTCAAGTGTGAAATTTTGACCCCCCGCTGCACACTCTCCGCCTATGCCAAGGACTACCTTCAGAAGATAGGTTCATTTTATGAATATCTTTGTGAAGGTGAGATGCACACACTGTATTTTAAAGTCACGGTTCACAACTTTTGTTGAGTACGCAAAATATTTTATTAATGTTTAAAACTTAAAGGGTTAGTTCACCCAAAAATGAAAATTCTGTCAGTATTTACTCACCCTCATGTTGTTCCAACCCCGTAAGACCTTCGTCCATCTTAAAATAGTCCAAGTGACTACAGTGGCTACATTTTAACTTTATCAAACGACGAGAACACTTTTGTGCGCAAAAACAAACAAAAATAACGACTTTATTTCAACTATTCACTTCCTTGTGAACTAACTTCCTTGTGTTGTTCCAACCCCGTAAGACCTTCGTTCATCTTTGGAACACAAATTAAGATATTTAAGATATTAAGATCACTCCTGCATACTAGTCCATAGGCTTCTTGAGGGAATGATTCTATTCTTTTATTTCTCTCTCTGCCTCGAGTCAGGTTACTAGTTTAATAGCGTAAGCTTCTGTTATTGTACGTCACACGCATCACATACATGACCAGCATCGGCCAATAATGAGCCTACGTGTGACGTAGCTCTACGCCATGGGTCACCAAACTAAGGCCCGCGGGCCGAATCAGGCCCGCCACACCCCTTTGACTGGCCACCCAACCCCTCTGCCCCCCACTACTTGAACCGGCAATCCCCAAAAGTCGTCATGGCCTATTTTTTTAAATTGCTTTTTGGAAAATAATAACATGTCTGCATTTGGTATTTTGTTGTTTATTGAGCATGCTCACCTGGATAGGCATAAGAGCTGACTAGTTCTATTACTCATGTTGTTGTTATAATTTAAATGTTTATTTATTTATTTTATAGGCCTATTTATTTGACCTTTATTAAGTGCTGTACACAATTATTATAAATAGTAACAGGCCTACCTATAATTTATAATTTTTCATTCATCCTTACCAGTGCCACTCACCTCAACTAGGCAGATGTTTCTTACCTTGACAGGTTTGATGTTATTTGTATTCGAAAATAAATAAATGGAAAATCTGTGGTATTTCAAATTAAAACAAAGTGTGAAGACTCGATTACTACTTTTGCAAACAACTATTAATAATAAACAAATATGGCTGTGCCAGGCTAGTAATCTCTACTATGAGGCCTGCTGGTGGTCAGTTTGGTCTTGGTCACACAATTCTATTTTATATAGCCCCGGCCCCCCATCACAGTCAGGAACGATAATGTGGCCCCCAGAGAAAAAAGTTTGGTGACCCCTGCTCTACGCTATCACACTACGTTAACTGACCTACTAATTTAACACATGAAATTTGCAAAGACCCGTTTTGGTCACTGGGTGGTCAAATGATAATGAATCTATACAGTATATACTCAATGAAACAAAATCAAGGACAGTGCTAAAATGTAGATCATTAATGAAAATTTTCAAATGTTGGCTGGATACACTACAAACTTAGCCTCGTCTCATTGAGACGTGTTCTGGGAAACGCATGTTAATTTTCTCGTATTTGAGGCGTGGTTTACAAATGCCCAGAACAGTTTATTGGATGCTACGGATGTCTATCAAATGTGCTTGTACGTAGCTCATAGCCAGTTGTTTCAATTATACCAGATGATGTATGTAGAGCGACAGAAATTAGAGGAGGAAGAAGATGATGGGTCGGAGATTTATGTGTACACAGTGGCGTTCAGCGAATATTGCCAACAATATCTAAGGCTGCATCGAAAGGTAACTTTGCGTTTCCATGTTGGATCCATAGATATAAACAAACAGCTTCGGTGTGTCGCATAGACGTCGTCATCATCTTGCTGCTCCCTCCCCGTTCTGTGATTGGTCCCCTCGCTGAGGCGAAAATCTGGTCCATGGTATCCAGACTGCCTAGCAGCGTGAATAAAATCATAGTAGTATAATACATCCAGTAGACTCTCAATAGTTATCCTGCAATCAAAAGTGCCTTCAAATTTGTTTGTGGCTCTCAATAGTTATCCTGCAATCAAAAGTGCCTTCAAATTTGTTTGTGGAAAATTTGGACTATATGATTCAAAAAGATTAACACTAAAAACAAGTATAGATCAAGCTTATGGTTAACCTCTATGTTTTAAATAAGCAAAACATAACACTTGTTTAACTTGCACAGGTTGGACCCAGGATTCAAGTGGCAATGACCAGCTGATTACGCTGCAGCTCACACCTTGTGATCCAGAAGAAGAACCAGAAGAAGGCGAGCAGGCGACCCCCCGGAGGGTCAGGGCGAGCAGGCGAGCCCCACGGAGCGTCAGGGCGAGCAGGCGACCCCCCGGAGCGTCAGGGCGAACAGGCGACCCCCCGGAGCGTCAGGGCGAGCAGGCGACCCCCCCGGAGCGTCAGGGCGAGCAGGCGACCCCCCCGGAGCGTCAGGGCGAGCAGGCGACCCCCCCGGAGCGTCAGGGCGAACAGGCGACCCCCCCAGAGGGTCAGGGCGAGCAGGCGACCCCCCGGAGCGTCAGGGCGAGCAGGCGACCCCCCAGAGGGTCAGGGCGAGCAGGCGACCCCCCCGGAGCGTCAGGGCGAGCAGGCGACCCCCCCGGAGCGTCAGGGCGAGCAGGCGACCCCCCCGGAGCGTCAGGGCGAGCAGGCGACCCCCCCGGAGCGTCAGGGCGAGCAGGCGACCCCCCCGGAGCGTCAGGGCGAACAGGCGACCCCCCCAGAGGGTCAGGGCGAGCAGGCGACCCCCCCGGAGCGTCAGGGCGAGCAGGCGACCCCCCCAGAGGGTCAGGGCGAGCAGGCGACCCCCCGGAGCGTCAGGGCGAGCAGGCGACCCCCCGGAGCGTCAGGGCGAGCAGGCGACCCCCCCGGAGGGTCAGGGCGAGCAGGCGACCCCCCCGGAGCGTCAGGGCGAGCAGGCGACCCCCCCAGAGGGTCAGGGCGAGCAGGCGACCCCCCCGGAGGGTCAGGGCGAACAGGCGACCCCCCCGGAGGGTCAGGGCGAGCAGGCGACCCCCCCGGAGCGTCAGGGCGAACAGGCGACCCCCCCGGAGGGGCAAGGTAATTAGAACAAATTAAAAAAATTACAGTTAATATGTGTAAAGGCCTAAAGTGTTTGATCCATGGGTTACCTTAACTTAACTCGACTTGATCGACTCGCATATGAAATAGTCACAATGCAGGATGCATTATGTCAAGTATGGGAAATGAACTCAAACACACCATGCACTTGTTTAAACAAATTAGGATTATTAAAAACAGGATGGACCCAAGCGAGAAAAAGATACACTTGGAGTTAATTGAGCAACTTTAATTCAATCACAATAAGAATACATGTACTTTACACCTATTAATACATGTACTTCCACACTTGTGCAATGTTGTGATCTTCCAGTATTTTAAATAATAAGTTAAAGATTTATTTGTTATACGATTAATTTTCTTTCTCCAAACCCACAGCTGTCTTCACAGGGTCAGCCAGGGGCAAAAGGAAAAAGTCAGGTATGTAAAAAATATTTGTAGGGTATTGGTGGTTCTGAGAATTGTTACCATACCTCATTAGTCAAGCAGATTCTCTTAAGTAAATAAATAAATAAAATATTATTTAAAGGGGACCTATTATGCTAATTTCCAGTTCTATATTTTTATTCTGATACTCCACTTGAGTAGCTTTGCATGATTTATGCAGACCCTGTTTGAAATTAGTCGTTTTAGATGGAGTATTCTATAAGCCTATGATTACTATTCTAATGAGCCTGCATGTGATGTAAAATGTGGAGGTAAATATAAACAGCGTGATTGCACACATATTAAAAGGTTAGTTCACCCAAAAATGAAAATTTTGTCAGTATTTACTCACCCTCATGTTGTTCCAAACCTCTATGTGTTTAGTAATCAAACAGATCTCATTCCCCATTGACTACCATAGTACTATGGAAATCAATGGGGATTGAGATCTGTTTGATTAAAACATTCTTCCAAATATCTTCCTTTGTTTTCAGCAGAACAAATAAACACATAGAGGTTTGGAACAACATGAGGGTGAGTAAATACTGACAGAATTTTCATTTTTGGGTAAACTAACCCTTTAACTAAAAGAGAGGGTGGTCTTTTCTCATATTTCAGGGGTCTCTAGACACACCAGGAACAAATATTTCTGTTGAAAGGACCGTACAAAGTGCATTTTGTCTAATTATTGTAAAAAAAAAATTCTGAGTGGATATATGACTGGACTGTAATCTTATGTCCCACAGGGGGACCAAGGCATATGCCTGAAAGAAAAAGGCCACAAAAGAGTAAGTGCATGTAAATGCAATGATTGATACTTTGCTATACATTACAACTTTTACCCCTGTTTATTTGCTATAGTTCAATTGCTTATTTTTTTTAACCAATTACAACAGACAATTAGTCACAATTTTATTTTTTTATTTAATAATTTAGCAAACGCTTTTATCCAAAGCGACTTGCATATAAATACAATATTTACAATACAAGCAGTCAAATCCACAACAGTGCAACAATATGCAAATGTCGTGACCAGTCCAGCTAGTCCAGTGTAGCACACATGACTATTGATTATTGACACATGATTATTCATAATAGATATAGAATAGGAAGGGATTAATATTATTGAGATTAGTACAATGGACCACCTATAAATCCAACAGGCTTAGTTAGTCTAATTTTACCAAAATAAAGTCAAGTATTGGAAGCAGCAGCAGTGGAGTATTCTCAGTTGTGAGGGTTGACTTTGCAGTAGTATGGTTATTAAAGCAAGCATACCACATTGGAACTTAGAGTAAGTTGGTTCCATTTATACATTTTTTTTTAATTAGTGATAAACATCACTTCTCATCCTTGCAAGTCTGTTCGCTACTTAAATCTTCATAGTTGTGTTTATTTTGTTCCTAATCTATCTAAGAAATATTTGAAACGTGTTTTTGATGTTCACAGATTGTTCCTACCACACTCGCCTAGAGGCTTTCCCCATCAGGAGTGTTGTAAAAGAAAGAGTGAGAAAGGTTAGACAGTCATGAAGGAACTGCAGAGTGTAGGCGGTATGCAGAGTGAAATATAGGATTTAGAAACTTCCTTGTGTTGACAAATACAGGTTAAACTTGGAAAAATTTGAATATCATGCAAAAGTCCACTTATTTCAGTAATTCAAATTAAAAGGTGTATATATAGTATATAGAAATATATACATATGCATGATTATACTTTTCAGAGGGCTGACATTTCTGTATTTAAAATCCTTCTTTTTTTATTGATTGTATGTAATTTTAAATTTTCTGAGATTTTGAATTTGGGGTTTTCATAAACTGTAAGCCATAATCATCAAAATTTGACAAAACTTTTCCGAAATATTCAAATTTTTCAATTATCAACTGTGCATGTTATTCAGACCATAAGACCAGTGTTTAGTCTTTTTGAATTACAGTTTAGGAAGAAAAATTATAGTTTAGGAAGAAGTGTCTACTGAAAATAATGACACATTGTATCAATTAAACTCAATGCCTAACCAGACATAATAGCCTTATACTAAGAAAAAAATAATTTTCTTCATAGGGCAAAGAAGAAATTTTGGTTGACTGGGAGCCCTGTCCAGTATGGTATGTATTTTTCTGTTCTTCTGATTAATGAATTAATGCATTCATTATTTATTTACTTTAATAAACTTAATAATGTTTTATTTATCTGTTCTGTTTCAGATTAAACAAGCCTTTTAACAAATGTAAAGCACACATCATTACTAGAGGTGTCACGATTCTCCAAATCCTCGATTCGATTACATTTTCGATTCTAAGGTCACGGTTTGATTCGATTCTCGAATTTTATCAATCGGCCAATCAGGATGCTCTCTGTCTTACATGCGCTTCATGAGGCACACACACAAGGTCTCTCGCTCTCTCCCTCTCTGCGGTGGACGCAATACGGTTAAGAGCACAGTTTTTTTCTGTCTCTCTTGCTCGCTCTCTCTAGATTCCGGGAGATTTTAACTAATTTGCGTGCATTAGGGAGCCGCTATCAATATGCGGGACACTCCGGGAACTTCCGCGAGACTTGAATTGTCTGCAAATTATGGCTTTTTTGAAGAGCGAACGTACGGAGCCCCTCTAGTCCCACTTTGGTAAAAAAAATTAATTATAACTATCTTGTGGCCTCAAGATAGTAACTCGTGGCCACAAGATAGTAACTCGTGGCCTCAAGATAGTAACTCGTGGCCTCAAGATAGTAACTCGTGGCCTCAAGATAGTAACTCGTGGCCTCAAGATAGTAACTCGTGGCCTCAAGATAGTAACTCGTGGCCACAAGATAGTAACTCGTGGCCTCAAGATAGTAACTCGTGGCCTCCAGATACTAACTCGTGGCCTCAAGATAGAGTTAGTATCTTGAGGCCACGAGATAGTATCTTGAGGCCACGAGTTAGTATCTTGTATGGAGCGAAGTATGTGCCTAAACCTCACACACAAACAAAACGTGTTTTACTCACACCCAATGATTCACAAACAAACTCAGTGTGGTTTGTAAATACAAAACATCACTCACAAACTAATGCATATTGTTCTGCAAATAAAAAACGTACCTATCAAACAAATACAGTATGTTTTACATATACATAGAAACGTATTTCTTCAATGACCAAAATATCCTGCAAGTACAAACTAAAATCTTTGAAAGTACAAAACAAAATTCTACAAGTACAAAGCAAAATTCTACAAGTACAAAGCAAAATTCTACAAGTACAAAGCAAAATTCTACAAGTACAAAACAGAATTCTACAACTACAAAACAGAATTCTACAAGTACGAAAAACTGTCACGTGACTTTTGGCACTATTTTTCCGCGTCCAGGCAGAATCAGATTTTCTCACAAATACAGTGGAACAACTTCCTCTTCTAGAACAGTAGATGGCGCTAAGATAAGGGATCAATTTGCTCGCCTTTGCCCATGGGAAAATGAGCGGTGAACAGGTGTGTTTCTGTCCAACTTTATCTATAATTAACCTTATTGAGGTTTGGAAAATGTTTATTATATAGACAGAAATCCACATTAGCACTTAGTAGTAACGTACTCCACTCTAGGATAAGGGAATCTATAAGCTGAAAGCTGCCATCATGTTGCTTTTACTTTTTGTAAAAATGTTTCATTTACTGAATGACTCTATTTCTTTCGTTCTCCGTAAATTAATGAGAACATTTCATTTAATTGAAAGGGTCCCACTTATTCATTAATTTTGTTGGAATTCAGTCAGCGTCACTGTTAATGCAATAAAATAATGAATGAACAAATCAAACAATATACAGTTGTTTCTTCCCTGTGATGTATTGTCCAAATTATTATTTTGGACAGACAAATGAAACCCTCCTTTCAATAAATTAAATGTTTTCATTATTAAGAACGAAACGAAAGTAATAGATTCGTTCAGTGTATACATAATCACTACTTTAGTCATTTCACACGCGTCTTGTAGGCTAGATTATTAATCCTGGCGCGTTCACGGCGAAGATCGCGAGTCAGCATTGTCAACTTCATGTTTTCAGCCGACACACTGACAAAGATACACTTGTTTTATTAATAAACAATTAAAATATCTTCTTGCTATATTTTACATAGCCTATTCATAATCTTTTGCCGGTTCTTTGTGACAGCTTTAAGGTGCTTTATTGCAGTGCCACCCTACATGTTACACGCGTCACCACCGCATCACCGCACCCACCAGAATAGCCCAGTTTAGTAAACAGAATTAGATGGCCACAATTCTTACACTTCTAAAAGGCAATTCAATGCGGATGTAATCCCTCAGATTGAGTAGGTAATGTAATGGAATACGTTACAAATGACATTTTGGGGCATTTATTCTGTAACGAAATACGTTTTCCCAACACTACAGCTGAGGAAAGTGAGCGGTGAACGGTGTGTTTCTGTATTACTTTATATAATTAACCTTATTGAGGTTTTCTTTTGCAAAATGTTAATTATTTCTTGACAAAAATCCATATTACCGCTATTAGCACTTCACTCTCTCTAGGGGAATCTAGGCTGAAATCTATGTCATATGTTGCTTTAAAAAATAATATTAGGCTAATAATCTAGCCTACATAAGACGCGTGTGAAACGACTAAATTAGTGATTATGTTCACTGAACGAATCTATTACTTTCGTTCTCCATACATTAATGAGACCATTTAATTTAATTGAAAGGAGGGTTTCATTTGTCTGTCCAAAATAAAAATTTGGACAATACATCACAAGGAAGAAACAACTGTAGGCCTATATTGTTTTGTTCATTCATTATTTTATTACATTAACAGTTACGCTGACTGAATTCCAACTAAATTAATGAATAAGTGGGACCCTTTCAATTAAATGAAATTAATTCTCATTAATTTACGGAGAACGAAAGAAATAGAGTCATTCAGTAAATGAAACATTTTTTACAAAAGTAAAAGCAACATGATGGCAGCTTTCAGCTTATAGATTCCTTATCCTAGAGTGGAGTACGTTACTACTAAGTGCTAATGTGGATTTCTGTCTATATAATAAACATTTTCCAAAACCTCAATAAGGTTAATTATAGATAAAGTTGGACAGAAACACACCTGTTTCACCGCTCATTTTCCCATGGGCAAAGGCGAGCAAATTGATCCCTTATCTTAGCGCCATCTACTGTTCTAGAGAGGAAGTTGTTCCACTGTATTTGTGAGAAAATCTGATTCTGCCTGGACGCGGAAAAATAGTGCCAAAAGTCACGTGACAGTTTTTCGTACTTGTAGAATTCTGTTTTGTAGTTGTTAGATTTCTGTTTTGTACTTGTAGAATTTTGTTTTGTACTGTTAGATTTTTGCTTTGTACTTGTAGAATTTTGTTTTGTACGTGTAGAATTTGGTTTTGTACTTTCAAAGATTTTGTTTTGTACTTGCAGGTTATTTTGGTCATTGAGGAAATACGTTTCTATGTATTGTAAAACATACTGTATTTGTTTGATAGGTACGTTTTTTATTTGCAGAACAATATGCATTAGTTTGTGAGTGATGTTTTGTATTTACAAACCACACTGAGTTTGTTTGTGAATCATTGGGTGTGAGTAAAACACGTTTTGTTTGTGTGTGAGGTTTAGGCACATACTTCGCTCCATAATCTTGAGGCCACGAGTTGGTATCTTGAGGCCACGAGTTAGTAACTTGAGGCCACGAGTTACTATCTTGAGGCCACGAGATAGTTATAATTAATTTTTTTTACCAAAGTGGGACTAGAGGGGCTCCGTACGAACGCCGAACGTTGTCAACATAACTCAGTGGTAATCAAAAAAGAATTCCACACCTGCGACTTCAATGAAAGAGGAGGGGGATTAAGTTCTGCCGATGGGTCTCCTGCATCTGCAGTTGCCATGCTATCTTTTGAATGGCTGTAGCTAAGTTAAAGGAGGTTGACTATAGACTCGCAGCACTTAATCAACACACGTGTTTTTTCCGCTTGGAAAGCCGATTGGACGTGACATTGGGGTGTGGCAGAAACGACGATTCCATTTTTTAAATTCGAAGTTCAATATTGTGAATTAATTTCGATCGATTTCAATTTAAAATTGAAATCGTGACACCCTTAATCATTACCTGACATGTCTTTATAAGTACAACAGTTTTTATCCATCTATGAAGGACCACCACCATTAATGCATGCATGAAGGTTAATTACATCATAGATGGAAAATTAAACTGTTGTACTTGTAAAAGTCATGGGTTACACTTTATTTCGATAGTCACTTTAGATGTTAATACTAATTATAAGTAACTTTTCGACTACATGTCAACTAACTGATTAAAGTATTAGTATATTATAGTAGACTGTCAGTAGACTGTTAGGTTATGGTTAGGTGTTAGGCTTTGGGTTAGGAGAACAAGTTTACCTGTATTCGCCAAGTTACTTATAGTCAGTTAAATGTCTGTTGGGGAACCAACAAAATAAAGTGTTAGCAGATATTAAGCTGACAGTCTACTAATACTCTAATGACAGTTAGTTAATGTAGTTGAAAAGTTACTTATAGTTAGTAGAATGTCTAAAGTGGACTATCAAAATAAAGTGTTACCAAGACATGTTCGGTAATGATGCAAGTTTATTGGAAAACCAGTAACAGAAAAATACCTTCTGTTTTTAGTGGTGAGCAGTGGGCCAATTCCTGGCAGCCAAAGGATTCTCTCCGAAATAATGAAAATAAATAAAATGTATGTTTTGAACTCCATTTTGGTTTCAGCCTATTTATTACATTGTTTCTGTGCTGCATTTGAAGTCATATCTCATCTTTCTGTAGTGAAAAGGTGAAAAATCTCCAAGAATGTGACCTGGAGTTTAATCTTAAAGGTTTGCTGGATTTTCGTGTTCTTTTTGTCTTTGCTTAAGTTCACTTAACCTCACAGTCAAGAAATACAGCCTCATGGCTTGATTGACATGAAGCATAAATATGAAGTTCCAAAAAATGTGACCTTCTTATACTCATTACATTATCTTTAATTTTTTGAATTTTTTGTTCATAATTGACCAGCGCAAACAAATAACAAAATGGTAAATCTGATCAAAAAAAAAAAAAAAAAAAAAATTTATCCAAATAAAATGAATGGTTTTATGTATTTTAAAAAGATGGTGAATAAACTGTATGGAGCTGCTTGTTGGTGAAGTACCTTGTTCATATGTCATATCTTGATTGTATTATCTCTCACAGACACACACACACAACAGACACAACCACACTGTCATGAAGTGGTTGAAGCAAGGGAGAAGCAGGATCCAAATGAAGCAGGATCCAAATGCAGCACGTTTATATAACTA